AGCCAAAATTAGAAGGTAGGCAGTAGCCAGATCACATAGGGCTTAATGTGAACAGTAAGAAGCTTGAATTTTATTTTCTATAAAGTGAAAAAACACTGAAAGGTTTAAGCAAAACAGTGACATTATCTGATTTACATTTCTACTGTGGCTGTTGTGTGAAGGCCAGAGGGTGGCTAGGGAAGAGCTGTAGATGTAAAAGAAAGAAAACAAACTAGTGGCCAGGAAAGAAATGATAGCAGTCTGGACTAGAAGTAGACAGATTCAAGATCTATTCTGAAGCAGATTAAACTATACCTGTCAATGATTTCGATACATGGAATAAGAAAAATAGGAAAAAGCTAGGACAACTTCCAGGTTTCTGGCTTAAGTAACAAACGGGTCATGATGTGTAACAATGAAGTGGTTCAGGATGAGACTAAGTTTGGGAAGGAAGGGTAGATTGATCCAGTCATTCAACAAATCTTTATTAAGCTTCTATTATGAGGATATAGCAGAGTATAAAACTGTCTTGTTCTTGCAGAGCTAACATCAATGGAGTGAGAGGCAGTTAAATATGGAAAACAAGAAAGCAGGTTGAGTGGGGAAGAAAGTTTCTATTTTAATTGAATGAATAGTCAGTTTCTCTGTAAGGAACAGAGACCTAAGGAGTCAAAGAAAGTAGCCTGGAAGTCTAGGAGAAAGGAACTCCTGGCAGTCTGAATAAGGCTGAGGCAGGAGTGTTTTCAGCATGTCTGAGTACTGGCAAGGAGGCCATGATGTTTTGCAGAGTAAGTAAGAGAAAAGCAATAGGAGAACAATGAGGGAACAAACAATATAGAACTTCGGATAAAGACTTCGGCTTTTTCTTTTTTAAACTTTGGAAGATGTGAACAGAGAAATGGAAGGATGGTATTAATCTCTCTGCAATATGGGAAATTACACTATGAAGGAGAAAAGGTGAAAGCAGAGACTCCAGAGACAATAATCCTCAGGTGGACCAGACCAGGAGGTAGTGAAATGGCTGGGATTAGGATAGGTTTTGAATGGCAGATGGGATCTGTTGATGGGATAAGATATGGCAGCATTAATGCTGAAAGGAGTCAAGGAAGACTGGAAGGCTTTTTTTGCCTGTTCCAAAGAATTGGGTCATCATTTACTGGGTTGGGATGAGCATGAGAAGAATAGATTTATTATGGATAATCATGAATTCTGTTTGCCATATGAAGATGGAGGTTCTCACTACAAATTTAAATACAAACAGAGCAGGCAGTTGTTTCCTCAATTTAACAAAGGCCTAGGTTGGAGAAACAAGTCTGGCAGTCTTCAACCTATACATGATATTTAAATTATAGGAATGGATCTAGGAAAAAGTATAGAGAAGAGGATCCAGAACTGAACCCTTGAAAGACATTTCCATCTCATACCTAGTATTTTTATAGTAAAACAACTGTTTTAATTCTTAAAGCTATTACTATTTAAACAGCTTAAAGCTATTTAATTCTTAAAGCTATTATATAATAAAACTGTTTTAATTCTTAAAGCTAAAACTACATCAGCAGTTTCTAAATTCATCAACTACATCAATGAGAAAACAGTGATGAACTAAAAGATTATATTATACAAATCTTTTCGAAAGGAAAAGTAATGAACTCCATTCATGATCAGAAGACTATCAGAAACTCAAAAACACTTCCAAATACAGATGTTATACAAACCAGTGGTTAAGTGCATGGCATATGGGTTCAGGCTGCCTGGAATTTAATTTTGGTCCTTACCCTTATTATTTGTGTGACCCAGGGCAAGATACTGTGCAGCTTCCTTAGCAGTAAATTAGGGATAATAACTTATTGGGTTGTTGTTAAGGCATTAATATCTGAACTTTTACACTAAAAAAATTAGCTGGCTTACTGTCACTAAGTTATTGAAACAAAAGTTGGGACTGAGAAACCTTGCAGCTAACCATACTCATTTTACAATTATTTAACCAAGGACTTGTTTTAGTCGCTAAGTTGGGTCTGACTCCTTCGCGACCCCATGGACTATACCCCGCCAGGCTCTTCTGCCCATGGATTTCCCAGGCAATACTGGAGTGAGTTGCCATTTCCTTCTCCAGGGCATCTTCCCCACCCAGGGACTGAACCCAGGGCTCCTGCATTGGCAGGAGTATTCTTTACCACTGAGCCACCTGGAAAGCCCAGGACTTGTAGGCCTCTTGTTTAAATTTCAAAACAAAACAAGGCCAAAATGTGTTCTTAAATTAAATTCTCCTAAGGGCTTGCAGCTCCCACTCCGTATTTTAAAACAGAGGAAACACATCCTCAAACTCCTTAGCATTCAAAACAATCTGCAAAAGGGAGAAATTGGCTAGATTAGTTCACACATTAGAGTAAGTATGTCTGATAACAAGATCCATCTGTGACACAAGCTACCAGGGCCCGAATCCCTCTTAACCAGTTATTTGATTCTCTTCTGGCCTCTTCTCTAGAAAATGAATGTTCTTTTGAAAATAAAGATTAAACCAAGCTTTTGCATGAGGCAGTAACAAAGTACCGAGAATCCAAACCTATGGCAATAATAGGAGAAGACCTCTCCACAGGCATCACCTATTCCTTTTCTCTAGTACCAGAAGCACCGTGAGGTCAGTCTCTTCCCGAGTGGGTTAGGAGGAAACTGCGACCTCTCCCGTCTTGGGCCTCCATCCCCGTCCCCATCCCCTGGGAGCAAAGCACCTGCGCAAAGGAGCTACCCTCGCTACCTCCTCCTCTTTTCGCTGGGCTCCGCGGCCCATACTCGGCTCCAGGCTCCAGCCTCCGAGCCGGTGGAGACACCCAGAGAAGACAATAGCGTAGTGGCGGCTGCCGTACCTTTCGCGGTCGCGGCCGTCGAAGTAGACGAAATCGCCGCTCTGGACGCACTTGGCGCAGGTCAGCCGCCGGCGGGTGGTGTTGCAGAGCGGGCAGCGCTCGACCGCCACGTACAGCCCCTCCGCGTCGTCCACAGAGTCTACCAGGTCCCGGGCGAGCGGTTGGGGCCCGCAGCCAGGAGCCTCCTGCGCCTGGGCTCCCTTCCCACTGGGAGACGCCATGATAGCCTGAGAGCAGAGCCAGTCACGTGGGATTTTGTTTTCAACCAGGTGCATCTTGGGTGAGGAGGAGGGGCCTGGGAGGGGCCTAGGGAGGCTCCAGGAGCTCGGCGGGAATCCCGCGAGCACCTCGCCCGACCTCGCCTACCCCTCAGCAGCAGTTGGGTGGGAATTAGGTTACGGAGGGGCGAGGCAGCGCAACCAAGTGTCATCAGCGTCTCCTTCACGTCCAGGCTACAAATTAACGCCACAAACTTGTGCAAGAGATAGTAATAAGTGCCCTCAGGATTGGGGAAAACAGATTGGGAACGCATAAGGGAATTTCTGTCATTCGCTGTGGGTAGTTACTAAATTTGGCTAAAACTACCGCAGAGTTAGATGAGGGAAGTGGGTCTTGGAGCGAAGTGGAATTTTGGCTCATGTGATTTTGGGGCAAATTCCTCACCTCTCCTGTGTTCACGTGGAGAAAACTTCAGTGCCCACCCAACGTCTTGAGGATTAACAAATCAATCCGTTTAATAGTAATCTGATAGTACTTTGCCAATAATAACTAACCAGTGGAAACAACTGTACTGAACGTGTAAATCACAGTTGTACCTTTATGAAAAATAAATTTTAATGTCCAGCATTCCGCTTCTATTCTGGGCCATATTCTAAGAATTTCAACTAGGTAGTATTTTAACATAACTTGATTACTCCAAATTTCTTTCTGTGAGGATAAACAGGGTGGGTCAGAGGATTATATCAAAGTAATTGGTGTTTGAATATGCCTGTAAACTACAGAAGAAAAAAAAAAATTGGGCTCATAGGTCAAATGATCCAGACCAGTGACTCAAAAGGATTATTTTGGCAGGCTATAAATTAATGACTGCCTTAATTTCTCTCTTCAGCTAGGGCTTCTCTCCCGTTCCATACCCCCAAATTCATAACTGCCTACACTAAGCTTAAATTTATGTACGGTGACCAATTCACTGTACAGAATTGGTCTGAAGCAATTCAGAAACAAAACTGAACTCTCCCTCTCCACAAACGTTTCCTTATTTTGTTGTTGTTCAGTCGCCCAGTCGTGTCCCCAAGCCTCCCTGTCCCCATTTTAGTGAAGGACAATCCCCGCCCACATGGGAACAAGGTCCAAGACTCCTATTAGCCCATCCCCCTCCCTGTTAATCTCCACTTCTCCATCAAATGCGCATGATTCCCACAAGCTAAATGGGTTTTGAAGCTTAGCTCTTTGCTCCAGCCTCTTAAGTCTTATTTGATCTATTTTAATACAATTACACAGGGTTATGAAGGTACAAAAAAAGCACAAAAATCCCTAAACTGTTTTCAAAATAGACTTTACACTAAACTTGAATGGTTCCTGAAAGTTGAAGATTTATTTTTAGGGAGAGAGAAATACTTCTCTGATCATTTCAAACAAAAGGATATGTAATTCTTTAATTTTTCTTTAAGTTTTCAGACTTTAATGTTTCATTTGTATTCTGACAGGATCCGTCACAGGCCTGTACCTGCTGACCAGGATCATCTATTCAGTATTTAAAAAGGCAAAAAAAAAAAAAGACAATAGACAATTTCTATCCTGTTTTATACAGATATTTTAAATTTCTATATATTGTTATGTATTTTTAGAGAACACATGTTCATGTACTACATCTTTAACAAGAACAAAGCATTAAATTTTAATGATGTTAGAATATCATTCTAGCAAGGCCTTAACTCTTCAAATTCTGAAATCAGATTACTTTTTCCATTTTAAAAATAATATACAACAGTCATTTTGAAAAAAAAGTGTCATTTCTTAGGCATGGTTACTCATACAGAATCATACTTTAATAATTAAAGTCAAAATGTGCATGGAACATCTACAATCCAGCTGTTTCTGTTGCTGGGCTTATGTGTATATTCAAAACAATATACTGTGAGATGTTGAATGATATATTCAGGCTTTTTTAAAACCTTTTAGAATAGGATAGATGTTTTCAAATGCTTCACAGATGTCAGAACGTTTTTTGGCACCTATAAAGAAATCCAAATTTACATAATCTTTAATATAAAACAATGCTACAATTTTCTTAAGGCTAAAATTTCATTGTCACTTCCAGTTACTTTTAATACTTTAGGTGTACCTGAGAAGTACTTTATTCCTGGTAAAGACAAAAGAATTTGGTGACTACAGTCACATTCCCACAAAAACATACCCTAGGGCAGAGTTTTCTAGTATTTCTGTAAAGTGGGCGCATCCGTGTGTCTTTAGCCTCCTGGGGCACAGTGTGAAATAGGAATGTTATCTCTCAGTGGGCCATGGACGTGACCACAGAACATGACCTTCAGCAGCAGTTGTAGGCACTTAGCTACCAGCAAAAGGGACTTGCTTTGATCTACTCAGCTTTAGTTAACATCCTCATTCCCTAATATTGACTAACAGAGTGAGACAAACTGGAACTGTTCTAAAGTTTTAAATTTCAATTTGGGAAGGGATTACTAAAGGGAAAGACTCTACCATCATTACCCTTAAAGTTGAGTTTCACGAGGTCTTTAATTACAACTGCTCTAGGAGTTAAAATGGATAAAAATATGAATTAGACACAGCGCCCACCCTTGAGCAAGATTTTCAGTCAGCCCTACTAAACTACCTTCCACTTTCAAAGCTACGCAGGCATTTTATGTTAAGAGTTAAGGACAGGTAGTACTTATGTGGAACTGTCAGTCCATCAGGGAACTATTATCTGATACTGGGCAGGAGGCAAGGAGATTAATGAAAAGAATATTAAAAACTGTTAGCGTGAAGAAAAATGGAAAATAGTTTAAGTTGATAAAGACTTGTTCTTGGGAGCTATAAACTTAGCTAGGAGAAACACTAGGTAAGACAGCAGAAATAACTTGTGAGAAGTAGTTATCTGGTTTAAGGATAGAACTAATGAGAGGGAATTCCCAAAAGGAGAATCAAGAGATTTGAGAAGTAGGTAGAAATCAGGATTCAGAATCTAGGATGAGCTAGAATAACTTAAAAAGTGGAAAATGGCAAGTGTTGGCAAAGAGATTGAGAAATTGGAACACTCATACATTGCTGGTAGAAACATAAAATGGTTCAGCTACTATGGAAAATAGTTCAGCAGTTCCTCAAAGCTGCTAAAAGAAGAATTACCACATGACACAGTAACTTCAGTCCTGGGTACCTGGGAATATACTCCTCAAATTGAAAATAAGTACTCGGACAAATAATATGCCTGTAGCTGCATATTCATTGCGGACAATGGAGTATTATTCCACAAAAAGGAATAAAGCGCTGAGACATACTACAGTGAGGATGAACCTCAAAAACATGTTAAAAGAAGTGAGACATGAAAGGTCACATATTATATGATTCCATTTATATGAAAATCTCCGGAGTAAGTAAATTCAGAGACTGGAGACTGGGGGTTGCCAGGGGTCAGGATGAGAGAGGGAAGTGGGGAAACTGCCTAATGATATAGGAGTTTATTTTGGAATAGTGGAAGTATTTTGGCACTAGAGTTGGTGGTTGCACAACATTTGGAATGAACTAATTGTCCCTCAATTTTTCATTCAAATGGTTATATTTGCGCTATTTGCATTTCACCTCAATAAATTTAAAAATTTTTAAGAATCAAAAATGAAGTACTTATTAGCTTAATATGGGCAGCGGGGGCAGGGGAGGGGGTTGCGGTATGCAAGGGCTGAAGTTACTCATTCACTGCCAAAGAGTTTACTTTCTGAGCCTCTACCCTCAAAGATGTCTGGTAGAGAGGTGGGAGGGTAAATCATTGAATGGTAATAGAAACTTGGCACATTTGAGGTAGGAAAAGTCCCTTAAGTCTCAGCAAATTTTAATTATAGTAGTAAAATTTTAGTTTCTAAAGAGACTGGTTTCGTAGAAGCCAAACTGTTAGCTTGGGGAAAAGTAAGACATCGCTATAGAAAGACTCTGCCTCTGGTTTGATGGACTTTTTCAGGTTCTGGATACGTTTGAATAGAACAGCCTTAATTGGGAGACAGTAAAGTAGGAAGATCCCCTGGAGGAGGGCATGGCAACTCACTCCAGTATTCTTGCCTGGAGAATCCCCATGGACAGAAGAGCCTGGCAGGCTACAGTCCATGGGGTCACAAAAAGTGGGACATGACTGAGTGACTAGACACAGCACACCACAGAAATACAGCAGGTATAGCAAACACAGATACACATTCACCTAATGGCCCCCCTCCCCAAATCTAAAGTTCTTTTTTTTTTGTAACTAAGTTTCTTTTTATATGAGTAACAGATATCCAGGTCCAGCATTTTGGGTAACCAGGTACTTCAGTTTTTTCATAACACTTAAAAATCATACCTAGGGACTCCCTTGTTGGCCCAGCGATTAAGACTCCAAGCTCCCAATGCAGGGGGCACGGGTTCAATCCCTGGTGAGGGAACTAGGATTCTACATGCTTCATGGGGCAGCCAAATTTTTTTTTAGAAATACCAAGAGCTTTACATTCAAGCCCAAAATAGTATAGTGTCCCCTAGAGAGTAGAAACCCATTGCCCAAGAGGGAACAGACATTGAGAGTGATCATTTTTTTTAATATCATAGAAAAACAACTTTAGACACAAAAAGTCTTTAGGAAAATTGTCTAGTGCAATTTTTTAAATTTACTGTGTGGGAAAGCAAGGCCCAAGAAGTTGAAGATCCCCTGAATCATGAGTATCAGCTTTGAGAGAAGATTTCATGTATCTGTGTTGCTTCCTTTACATGGAAGGTGATCAAACAAACATCTCCAGGAATTGTAAATCCCAGTGAGGGAAACTGGTCAATTTAGTGAAATATTTCCTCACTGAAATGTTGGTATAAAATTGTTGAGGAGACCTAAATTGGCCCCACAGTCCTATTAATAATCAATCTATAATCAAACATCTCAATTTGGAGGACCAGACTCTGATTATATGACCCTTCTCTTTTAAGCGAAAGCTACCAGATCTTTTCTTCAAGTTATGATGACCACCAATTTCCCTGGTAGCTCAACAAGTAAATAATCTGCCTGCAATGCAGGAGTTCAATTCAGTTCAGTCACTCAGTCGTGTCTGACTCTTTGTGACTGCAGCTTGCCAGCTTTCCCTATCCATCACCGACTCCTGGAGCTTGCTCAAACTCATGTCCATTGAGTCAGTGATGCCTTCCAATGATCTCATCCTCTGTCATCCCCTTCTTCTCCTGCCTTCAGTCTTTCCCAGCATCAGGGTCTTTTCCAGTAAGTCAGTTTTTTTGCATCAGGTGGCCAAAGTATTGGAGTTTCAGCTTCAGCATCAGTCCTTCCATGAATATTCAGGACTGATTTCTTTTAGGATGGACTAGTTGGATCTCCTTGCAGTCCAAGGGACTCTCCAACACCACAAGTCAAAAGCATCAATTCTTCAGTGCTCAGCTTTCTTTATAGTCCAACTCTCACATCCATACATGACTACTGGAAAAACCTTAGCTTTGTCTAGACAGACCTTTGTTGGCAAAGTAATGTCTCTGCTTTTTAATATGCTGTCTAGGTTGGTCATAGCTTTTCTTCCAAGCAGCACGTGTCTTTTAATTTCATGACTGCAGTCATCATCTGCAGTGATTTTGGAGCCCTGAAAATATAGTCTGTCACTGTTTCCATTGTTTCCCGCATCTATTTGCTATGAAGTGATGGGACCAGATGCCATGATCTTAGTTTTCTGAATGTTGAGTTTTAAGCCAACTTTTTCACTCTCCTCTTACTTTCATCTTCAATTCTTCTTCATTTTCTGTCATAAGGGTGGTGTCACCTGCCTATCTGAGGTTATTGATATTTCTCCCAGAAATCTTGATTTCAGCTTGTGCTTCATCCAGCCCAGCATCTCGCATGGTGTACTCTGCATATAAGTTAAATAAGCAGGGTGACAAGATACAACCTTGATGTGCTCCTTTCCCAATTTGGAACCAGTCTGTTGTTCCATGTCCAGTTGTATTTCTTCTTGACCTGAATACAGATTTCTCAGGAGGCAGGCAAGGTGGTGTGGAATTCCCATCTCTTGAAGAATTTTCCACAGTTTGCTGTGATCCACACAGTCAAAGGCTTTGGTGTAGTCAAAAAAGCAGAGGTAGATGTTTTTCCAGAATTCTCTTGCTTTCATGATGATCCAACGGATGTTGGCAATCTGATCTCTCATTCCTCTGCCTTTTCTAAATCCAGCTTGAACATCTGGAAGTTCATGGTTCACATACTGTTGAAGCCTGGCTTGGAGAATTTTGAGCATTACTTTGCCAGTGTGTGAGATGAGTGCAATTGTGCGGTAGTTTGAACATTTTTGGCATTGCCTTTCTTTGGGATTGGAATGAAAACTGACCTTTTCCAGTCCTGTGGCCACTACTGAGTTTTCCAAATTTGCTGACATATTGAGTGCAGCACTTTCACAGCATCTTTTAGGGTATGAAATAGCTCAACTGGAATTCCATCACCTCCACTAGCTTTGTTCATAGTGATGCTTTCTAAGGCCCATTTGACTTCACATTCCAGGATGTCTGGCTCTAGGTGGGTAATCCCACCATTGTGGCTATCTGGGTCATGAAGATATTTTTTGTATAGTTCTTCTGTGTATGCTTGCCCCCTCTTCTTAATATCTTCTGCTTCTGTTAGGTCCATACTATTTCTGTCCTTTATTGTGCTCATCTTTGCATGAAATGTTCCCTTGGTATCTCTAATTTTCTTGAAGAGATCTCTAGTCTTTCCCATTCTATTGTTTTCCTCTATTGCTTTGCACTGATCACTGAGGAAGGCTTTCTTATCTTTCCTTGCTATTCTTTGGAACTCTGCATTCAAATGGGTATATCTTTCCTTTTCTCCTTGCCTTTTGCTTCTCTTCCTTTTTCAGCTATTTTGTAAGGCCTCCTCAGACAACCATTTTGACTTTTTGCATTTCTTTTTCTTGGGGATGGTCTTGATCACTGCCTCCTGTACAATGTCATGAACCTCTGTCCATAGTTCTTCAAGCACTCTGTCTATCAGATCTAATCCCTTAAATCTATTTGTCACTTCCACTGTATAATCGTGAGGGGATTTCATTTAGGTCATACCTAAATGGTCTAGTGGTTCTCCCTACTTTCTTCAATTTAAGTCTGAATTTGGCAATAAGGAGCCACAGTCAGCTCCCAGTCTTATTTTTGCTGACTGTGTAGAGCTTCTCCATCTTTGGCTGCAAAGAATATAATCAATCTAATTTCGGTGTTGGCTATCTGGTAATATCCATATGTAGAGTCTTCTCTTGTGTTGTTGGAAGATGGTGTTTGCTATGATCAGTGCATTCTCTTAGCAAAACTCTGTTAGCCTTTGCCCTGCTTCATTTTGTACTCAAAGGCCAAACTTGCCTGTTACTGCAGGTATCTCGACTTCCTACTTTTGCATTCCAGTCCCCTATGATGAAAAGGATATCTCTCTTGGATATTAGTTCTAGAAGGTCTTGTAGGTCTTCATAGAACCATTCAACTTCAGCTTTTTCAGCACTATAGGTTGGGGAGTAGACTTGGATTACTGTGATATTGAATGTTTTGCCTTGGAAACAAATAGAGATCATTCTGTCGTTTTTGAGCTTGCACCTAAGAACTGCATTTCAGACTCTCTTGTTGACTAGGAGGGCTACTTCATTTCTTCTAAGGGATTCTTTCCCACAGTAGTAGATACAATGGTCATCTGAGTTAAATTCACCCATTCTAGTCCATTTTAGTTCATTGATTTCTAAAATGTTGATGTTCACTCTTGCCATCTCCTGTTTGACCACTTCCAATTTACCTTGATTCATGGACCTAACATTCCAGGTTCCTATGAACTATTGTTTTTTTACAGTATCAGACTTTACTTCCATCTCCTGCAGTGAAGGAGACCCTGCTTTTATTCCTGGGTTGGGAAGATCCCCTGGAGAAGGAACAGCTACCCACTCCAGTATTCTTGGACTTCCCTGGTGGCCCACAGTAAAGAATCCACCTGCAATGTGGGATACCTGGGTTTGATCCCTGGGTTTGGAAGATCCCCTAGAGAAGGGAACAGCTACCCACTCCAGTATTCTTGCCTAGAGAATTCCATGGACAGAGGAGCCTGGCAGGCTACAGTCCATGGGGTCGGAAAGAGTCAGACACGACTGAGCAACTTTCACTTTTGCCAGATCTTTCCTTCAAGTTATGATGACACCAATTTGGGGGATAAACACCTTTGCTAACTGTGGTAAATGAGGTAGAAATTCTGTGGCTAGTGCACTGAAGAAAGCACTGGCTACTGGCTTGAGATCAAACAACATGGGTTCAAATGCAAGCTCTCCCACTAAGTTTGAAATCACAGGCAGATGGTTTAACTTCTGAGCTTCTATTTCCTCATCTATAAACAAGGACAACATAGAAAAGCAGCGTGGACCTGAAAAAGTTGTGTTAAGGTCCCTTTGCTGTTTGCTCTCTGGGACCATGACCAAGGACAAAGTAGGAAAGTAGGTCTTCTTTGTTCTCAGCTCATTTAACTATTCATTCATTCAGCTGTAGCTTTGGACATGCTGACTGCAGCTTTGGCACCTCAAGGGAGTGAGACAATTTTACAATTAGCTACACCTGCTGAGCACATTGACAAGTTTTAAGGGGAGGATACTATATGGTCTTCAGTACCCTGTGTTGACATTCCTTTCCTTTTGTGATTTGAAACTTCTAGCAAATGTGCACATGAAAGTATATTTTTTTTCCTTTTTATTTGGGATAACTAAGAAAGTTGGTCTGAATTATGGGTACTGAAAGAAACTTGTTCTTGTATACCTACAATAGGAACTTAGCCTGTACTTGGCAGTTTGTACTTGTTAATAAGACAGATTCATAATGACACATAACACATAGGTGAAAGCATCCATCCAAAGGTCTTAAAAAATTTTTTTTTCCTTGGAGGAAGGCATATATTTGCCTGCAGTATCTACACTATTCAATGTACTTGGCAGGCTTTCCCCCTTTCTTCAAGACGTATAGAGGGAAACTGTCAATTACTAGAAGGTCTTAATTATTCCAGACACTAAACTGGTTGCATCTAAGCAGTTGTTGCATTGTTGTATTCAAAAGGTTCTTGAATTCTAAACAAGCTTTCCCCATTTTGAGGACACATTATTTCTGAAAGAAGAACTGTAATACTTACTGGGCATTCTAAAGACTTAATAACAGACACTCCATGTTTTTGGATGCCGAGTGATAACTTTATCATGTTTCTCAGATTAATTCAGCCAATGCAGAAATCTCAATTGGTTTTAGATGGGGCAAGATATTATTAAATTTTAAAGTTTATTTGGAAGAATAAATACTTGAGGGGAGCTAATACAAAGAGAAGCAACGACGGGAAACTGGCCTATCAGATATAGAGCTCACTAGGATTAATGCACATTCATAACCACAGTATAGTATAAATACAGTAGGATTATCATAGTATAATTCAGGAGTAAAGGCGGAACTGGAGACAGACCCATATTTTAAAATAAAGGCCAAAAAGAAGTCATCACAAATTAATAATGAGAAGAATAAGTAGTTTCAGGTTGGCTGGCTAGCTACTGGGGGGATAGTCAATTTGGCTCGTGCCATGTAAACTGGTCCCAGAGAGTAAAAGGTGTAAAAAGTCAGACAAAATAAGGCAAAACCAGCAAACTTCAGTAGAATGGTGTGGAAAAGAGCCTCAACCATTTACCTCAAGAATTTTAAAAACCTTTATGTAAAAATAAGTCAAACTGGAAAAAATCACAAATAAAATGAAGAGTAATTATTTTCAATATTATGGTGAACTCACACAAACCCTTAGAGGGGGAAAGCTAATAAAAAGTAGACAAAAAGCAGTAAGTTACATACACGCTATTTTAAAAAGTTGAAATGCTATTTACTATGCTAAAAAGCGATCAATTTCTATTTCTGATTACCAGTGAGATCCCTTTCATTTACACAGAGTTTTCTTTTGTAACTTACTGTTTTGAATGTTTCTGAGAGTTTGTAAAAGATATTCAGATACATTGCTGGCAGCAATGTATGCTATAGAAAAACTGCATTGTATACGCTTTGCAAAACAATTTCGTAAAATAATTTGTACTAAGAAGCTTAAAAATGGTCTGTTTTTAGACAGAAATTCCCCTTATGAGCATTTACACTAATAAAATAATTCTCTACACATAAAAATAGCCAAACTTTTGTCCCATTAATAAGCAGCAAACAAAGAAAAAACATAACCTGACAAGGGGAGAATCAGTTTGATGCAGTAACATGTTAGAACAGAGGTTGGGAAACTTAGGTCTGCTGGTCAAATCTAGCCTGCTACCTGGTTCTGTATAGCCTGTGAGCTAAGAGTGATTTTTATACTGAAATGGTTGGGGGAAAAAAGAAGAAAATTACTTGATATGTATAAATTAAATGAATTACATTAAATTCACACTTCAGAGCCTTTTTCTTTATGTGGTGTTCACAGCTACTTTCACAATAAAACAAGGCTCAGTTGTGACAGAGACTCTATACCCACAAAACCTAAAGAATTTAGTACTTAGCTCTTCGTAGAAAAAGATTTGTCGACCCCTTTGTAGGAACATTGTTCGGACATTGAAAGCCTTCAATAAGAATTTGTAACAGTGAGTTAAGCTACATATGTTATAATGGTTATTCAAAAGATAGGATATAAAGATGAATATCTCTGGAGTAGGAAATAGCTATATACTTCAGTATCCTTGCCTGGAAAATTCCATGGACAGAGAAGCCTGGTGGACTACAGTCCATGGGGTCACAAAGAGTTGGACATGATTAAGCGACTAAACAGACACATAAACGAATACATATATATATATGTGTGTGTATATATATATATATCAAAATTACATAAAAACATGGAAAAGATTATATTGTTTAACTATAGGGACCAATGTATGATGTTATTTTTCATTTTGCTTTTCATTTTTTTCCAGGTATTCTATAATACCAAGAAATGCTGTATGACAGCAAACAAAGCTATTTAAAAGGTAAAACAAAGCAGACGCAAAGCTGTTGAATTTTATGAAAGTCAGAATCTTAGAACTTACCTGTCAAAACAACTTTTCCAGATACAAAGATAAGCAACACAATTCGTGGTTTCACCATTCTATAAATAAGGCCAGGAAACAGTTCAGGTTCATAACTGTTAAGATAACCAAAGAAAGAAGTTAAAAAATAGCACTATTCAACTACTTATTTGAGACCCAGTACACAGAAGCAGTTGTCAAAAGCCATTTTACCAAAAACCTTTTGGCCATCTTGACAAAAGTAGTCTTGAGTGTCCTAGGTAATTTCTGTGGCAGTCAGTGACAGAATTCACTTTTAGTCATAATATTTTTCCAAGTGCAGACTTCCTAAGCTTTTAGAAATTAAGGAAACTTAGAGCATCAGATTGAATATATTAAGATCTTCTTAAATGTTGTCTATCTTTCCAAAAAAGTCTATCAATAGCAATACATAAACACATTTTTTAAAAATTTCTAAGTTCCACAATAATGAGCACATTGTGGAAATATTTATAAACTGCTAAAGTTAACATTTTTAGCAGATAGAACCTAAAAACATTACTAGAATACTTTGTCTTTGGACAGATACTGTATACTAAACCATACCAAGTTTTACAAATTCAGAATTTGCTTCTATACATAGTAACTCACTCCTTCCTAAAGAGGCTTGAGGAGCCTACAAAAAAGATGTCAGCAGTTAAGAGGATGTTGATGAAATAAAACTATTCTCAAAACGATGGCTAATGGGGATAGAAGAGAAATAAAAAAATCTAGGAAATTGAACACTATGAGGAATTCCCTAGTGGTCCAGTGGTTAGGACTCTGTACTTTCACTGCTGAGGGCACAGATTCAATTCCTGGTTGGGGGAATAAGATCCCTCAAGATGTCTGGTGCAGCAAAAAAAAAAAAAAAAAAAAAAAGTTTTTGCTCTTAAAGAGTGTATCCAGATCACACAGAAAAACTCCATTCCATTCAGCAATGGCTATGACCTCTTATTGGCACCAGAGAGATGCATGACGGTGGTGAGGGTACCCATCTGAAGTATATGGAGGTCGTTATGTGTAAACATGTCTTCCTGGGACATCACTCTATTTCCTGCAGAAAGCCTGTCAGGACTTCTGCCCACAAACCACTTCCGGACACTGGGGAGACAGTGATGCTAGCTGGAGCCCTGAAAAACTTCTATGGGAACTATGAAGTCTGAGCCAAGAAAGTGAAGACTAAGGGCAGAGAAGAAATGTTTTCATTTGGTTTTCCAACCAAAGCTGAAGACACTAAAAGGGAAAAGAGCAAATAAAAGTCTTTGGTCTGTAAATACCTGGAAATGTCCCTAACCTGGGAAAGGAAACACACATCCAGGTCCAGGAAGCACAGAGAGTTCCAAACAGCATCCACCCAAAGAGGACCACACCAAGGCATGTTGTAATTAAGATGGAAAAAATTAAAGACGAATATCAAAGGCAGCAAGGGAAAATCAACAAGTTACATACAAGGGAACTATCGTAAGGCTATCACAGCTGACTTTTCTGCAGAAACTCTGAAGGCCAGAAGGCATTTGCACAATGTATTTAAAATGATGAAAGTGAAAAACCTACAACAAAGAATACATTACCAAGCAAGGCTGTCATTCAGATTTGATGGACAGAGCAAAAATTTTGTAGACAAGCAAAAGCTGAGAAATCAGCACCACCAAACCAATGTTCAAAAAAAAGTTAAATGGACCCCTCTAGGTGAAAAAGAAAAAGCCACAACTAGAAATGTGAAAATTAGAGAAGGAAAAAGTTCAGGTAAAGGCCACTAATGCACAGTAAAGGTAGTAAATAACAAAGCTAGCAGGAAAGTTAAAAGACAAAAGGAGTAAAATCATCTATATCTACAATAAGCAATTAGGGAATTCAAAAAAGAAAAAGAATGATATCAAAAACAGTAATCATGGCGTGGGGAGTAAATATTCAGGGTTCTTAAAATGCCTTTGAACTTAAGAGATCAGCAACTTAATTATGTGTATACACACACACACATACAGATTGCTATATATAAACTTCATTTAAGGTAACCACAGACCAACAATCTAATAATACATACACACAAAGAGAAAGAGCTTTCCTGGTGGTCCAGTGGCTGGGAATCTGCCTGCTAATGCAAGGAACACCGGCTTGATCCCTGGTCTGGGAGGTTCCCACATGCCTCGAGCACCTAAGTCCGTGAACCACGACTACTGAACTCGTGCCCTAGAACCCTGGCTCTGCAACAACAGAAGCCACGGCCCATGAGAAGCATGCAAACTGCAACTAGAGAATAGCTTCTAGATTGCCACAACTACATAAAGCCTGCACATAGTAATGAAGACCCAGCACAGCTAAAAATGAAATTAAAAAAAAAAGAAAGAAATCCAAACATAACATTAAGGATAGTCATCAAATCAAAAGGGAAGAGAACAAAAGGAAGAAAGGAACAGAAAGACCTACAGAAACAACCCCCAAGCAATTAACAAACTGGCAGTAAGAACATGAAAGTGAAAGTCCTGTCCGACTGTTTGCAACCCCATGGACTGTAACCTATCAGGCTCCTCCGACCATGGGATTTTCCAGGCAAGAGTACTGGAGTGGGTTGCCATTTCCTTCTGCAGGGGATTTTCCTAACCCAGGAATTGAACCTGGGTCTCCTGCATTGCAGGCAGACGCTTTACCATCTGAGCCACCAGGGAAGCCCCAGGTAAGAACATACATATCAATAATTACCTTAAGTCATAAATTGACTAGGGCCTTTCCTGGTGGTTCAGTGGTTAAGTATCTGCCTTGCAATGCAGGGGAAGAGGGTTCAATCTCCAGTCAGGGAACTAAGATCCTATATGCTGCAGAGCAATTAAACCAGTGAGCAGCAACTACTGGGTCCAAGTGATACAACTAGAGAGTCCATGGGCTGCGTGAAAGATCCCAAGTGATGCACAGAAGAGCCTGTGTGCCGCAACTAAGACCCAATGCAATCAAATAAATACATTCTAAAAAATTAAAGATAAAACTACCATATGATTCAGCAGCTCCACCCCCGGGTATATATCCAGAGAAAATAAAAACATTCAGAAAGATACATACACCCCAAAGTTCACAGCAGCATTATTTACAATAGGCAAGATACAGGCAACAATGTAAGTGTCCATCAACAGATGAATGGATAAAGATGATGTGATATATATACACAGTGGAATACTACCCAGCCACAAAAAAGAATAAAATTTTGCCATTTGCAACAACATGTATGGACTTGGAGGGTATTATGCTAAGTGAAATAAGTCAAATACTGAATGATGTCATTTATACGTGGAATCTAAAAAATACAACAAACTCATGAATGTAACAAAAAAGAAACAGAATCACAGATACAGAGAACGGACTATTGGTTACCAGTGGGGAGAGAGAGAAGGGAGAAGAAGAAAGAAGGGATTGAGAGGTGCAAATTGCTATAATGTAAAAAGAAATAAGCTACATGGATATATTACACAGTACAGGGAATATAACCAATATTTTATAATAATATTAAATGTATAACCTATAAAAATTTGAATCACTATGTTGTACATCTGAAACTAATATTTAAATCAACTGTACCTCAATAAAAAACAGATACATACATATATATACAAAAAAAGTCTTCGGTATGTAAATCATGGTGAACTGTTTTTAGCTTCAGAACTGTGATTTTAAGGTACTAGCATGGTGAACTGCCAACTAGAGATTTACTTCATTTTATTTACTCTCTCCTTCATTTCAAAAGAAGACTGACACAGAAAGAAAAGAGGTTTTGGTGAGAGATGGAGAACATTTCATGAAGATTGAAAACAACAAATAGCTGCCGATCTCTTGGACCAAACCTGCTCATTCAAATCTCAGTTTAAATGTTACTTCCCTTTAGAAGTCTTCCTTATCTTCAGCCCTTCTCTAGTTACGTTAAGTATCCTAATTGGTGGTACCAAAACACGCCAAGAGGTGTTCACCTTCAGTTACACCTTCATAGTTACAGTTCATTATTGTCTTTGGTTTCTCTGTTTTCCTTTTTAAATAGTGGTTCCATAACTTCAAGGTCCCATGGCTGCATTGATTGCCACTATCACCATTGCATCTACTACACAGTAGCCACCTAGATTCTACTCATTTAAGAAATATTTAAGATAACTTTGATTTATTGGATTGGCCAAAAATTTCGTTCGGATTTGTCCATGAGATGGAACAAACTTTTGGGCCAACCCAATAAAAACTGAATGGAAGGGGAAAAAAATGCTCAGGGAAAACGGAAAACAATTATGGCATAGAAAGACTGATGGAGAAGGTACCCAGTAACAAGTGAGACACATATTATCAGATGCTGATATACATATTTGTAGAATCAGGGGAATTAAATGAACTTGAGGTTTTTTTTTTTTGAACTTGAGGTTTTAACATAAAGCAAACTTGACAATTATAAGTGATATGTTGCCATGGTTCCCCACAGGGCTACAGGCAATTAAAGAAAGTCTTCATTTTAAAGACACAAATCTGCTGAGAAAGAGGTATTTTCATGCCCCAATGTCACAAATACACACACTGGAGTTGTAATCCATAAGCTAAGGATGGAGGGCATTTTGGGGGGAGGCAAAAGTGAGACTGGAAAGAGGTATCTGTGAGAATATCTGGCCAAATTTTTTAAAAAGATGAGTGAGATCATAAAAGTGGTTCACAAAGAGGGGAAAACAGTGATGGGACCCACTCCAAGTGACTAAAAGCAGTGCATCAGATGAATTCTCATTTTGCCCTTCTGCAGCTTCATTTTTCAGAGGTAGAAGTACTGACAAGGGGGCACTCCCACTCCAGATTTAAATTTGACCTACAAAGACGACAATCTTGGTGAAAAAGAAATGAAATTTGGGAGGAACTGCACACATCATTTCAGAGCCCTAAGTGGCTAGAAAGGGGAATGCCAAGACTAATACAGACATGTACCTCAAAATTGGGCAGACATCTTTCACATGTTCATTAAAAACTGGCTCAGAGAAAGATAGACAGGAGGTCCAAGGTTGAGGATCTAGAAGATAAGATAGAGTATGTGTTCAGAGACCCTCAAAAATGAAGATTTTACTATGAATTCTATGAGTCATTCCAAGATTGAAGGAAGAAAAGGACACATAAAGAAGCAATACATCTTGCATGGGGTGCTTCTCAGTGAAGTCAAAGGGTACCTCATAGGCACTTAATAAACATATGCTGAAAAAATTGAGGCAGAGGAAAAAATGAAAATACAATCAAGGCCAAGATATTGCTTAAAGAGTATCATAAAAGCTAAATCTTAGAATGAACAAAATTTTTTGAAAGTTAGGGAAAGACAAGGCAGTTTTTAACTTCAGTTTAGGTCATATCTCAATGGAAAGTTAACAAACGTTAAAGAAAACACAGCTCTATGATCCCTCTCTATTATTAAACAGAATGATTGCTCAAAGGCAAAGGGAAGGAAAAGCAGAGTGAAAGGACTTCAGTTCACGTTAGGTCACAAGAATTTAAGAGCATCTGTGATGCTAAGCCAGTTCAAGTGCCCTGGCCTAAGGGGTGGTGGGATTTAGTGTTTGTCGGTCACCCTCCCTCCATCACCACTTTCTGGGGGCCTGAGCAGGCTGTGAGAAGCACAGAAGCAGCTGGGGGGTCGGGGGGCATTTGCTGTTGAGATGGGAAGTTTCGTTTGAAGAAGCCAAGCAGGCTAGAGATACTCCCCAGGAAATATGAATCCGTGAAAGAAGCTGTGGTGGGTGCTACAGCCACACACAGGAAAAGAAAACTCTTGAACAAACTCAGTAGGACAAAAACGAGATAGGATTGCTTTCATAAAATATGCTACGGCCATTCATTATTATTATAATGTTATTTTAAAATCTTCTCTCCAGCCCCTTTTCCCCTCACTGGCTGTCAGCCCTTCCTACTTACCTAGTCCATGTCATAGCCTTTCTCTTTCTGCCATTGCCACTGCCCCCAGCCAGGTGTGACTTTTTTTTTTTTAAGAAATCTATACATCAGTGAGTCTCAACGTGTGGGCCTCCGGCTAGCTGCAATGGCATCACCTGTGAGCTTGTTAGAAATGCAGAATCAAGCAGAATCTCTGGGGACTGCAGCCCAGGCGGGAATGTGCGTTGATAAGCTGTCCAGGTGATTGCTACGCAATTTAGTTTTGAGAACCACCATTTCAGAAGATTAGACACATACGGTAACCGATGAGGACTTAGGTACAGCAACTTCACCCTTTCACTCATTGTGGCTTAAAAATAATGTACACTTTCTCTGAAAGATATGTTATATAAGCAACCCAAATAGAATTTTAATATTTTGGTAAACTCAAAGTGAAGCTACACAATCATACCTACTGAACTGCTGATGGGTTAGCACCAAACCTTCCAGACTGATAGGAAATCTCACATCACAGCTTCCAACCATGTTCTGAATTGTAAAATCGAGGAATCTGGCAGGAAAGCCCAGCTTCTGCACCACACGAGCGTATTTTCTTGCTGCAAGTCGAGACTGCTCTTCGCTGGGGAGGGGCAAGACATTAAGGATGTCTTAATCACTGCGACTGCTGACAAGTTGGGCTATATTCAGACACTTCTCTGATTTTATTTTGAGCATCTGTACCATGTTTATCATTTACTGTATACGAGGAAGCTGCAGACTTTGAGGAGAAGGACCCACCACCCCTACTACTGTCCCTAGCACCTAGAAAAGGGTTTGGTACAATGGGCAGTTGTTGAACTGAATCATAAACAGATTTGTGTCTTCCTAGCCATCTTTTACATATAATTTTTTTCTTTTACTTGTTTTAAGTGCTATTAGATAAAATTAACAATTTCCACTGGTTCTCAAAAGGTGTCTTCAGGTCAGCAGCAGTATGGTCACCTGAGAACTTGCTAGAAATGCCAAGTCCTAGGTCCTACCTCAGCTCTGGGTAGGGCCCAGCAATCTATGTTGTAACAAGCCCGGCAGTGACTGTGGTGCTCATTAAGGTGCTAGAACCATCCATGTGGTCTAAAAGTGTGTGCCATTTAGATGAAAACAGCAGCAGCGAAAGTAAGGACACGTGCATACAAAAAAAGTCAACATAAAAAAAGTAAGATATGAGCCATCTGAGTGGTATAGATAGGATGTCAGGACTTGGATCTTTATGGGGCAAGTTGTACACTTATAAAAAGAGTCATAAAAATACCTAAAAATCTGTCCAGTTTTACTTAGGCTTTCTTACACAACTGTCATTCAACTCATGCTCAAAATGAGAAAGAAATAAATTCACCCAAATGTGTGGCTATGTTTTAACTATTTGTCCAGCTCTGTCCTTAAATATATGGCAGAGAATGTGAAATCCTGAGATTTGGGACTTTTTCTTTCAGTGGTCACTATGGTCACTACCAAAATAAAAACAATGAGTAGCAGGGATTGCCAAACAGGGACAACCCCTGGTAAGTAAAACCTACGAATTCTACCCTCTGTTATGGTTTATCCCTATCTTTAAGTTGAAAATCAGAAAGCACATTAAAGAAAAGTCAGATTGAATTTACTTGCCTTGACCAAAGGGACTGGGAGAATTTCTTTCTATTCTAGATCTCTCACACCATAGTCCTATTTTTACATCACCTCACTTCATGTTCATTCTCCACATCCATTTCCAACTCCTGAAATGTCCCTAGCAGGGCCATGTCCCCATAGCAGAAGTGAAATAAGTGGCTCTCATTTTTAAAAAATATACTTTACCTAACTGACCCATTACATTTCCTACAGTGCTAATATTTATAAGGTCAAATTTCAAGAATTTTCATAGCCCTATAGTTTCTTATATCACACAGAAATTCCCATTCAAACAACTAATAGTTAAAGTTTACATATATGTTCTTGTACAAACATTTGAAACTAGGTTAGGAACCTTGAAATTTTAACACCAGTGGTGATTACCACTGCTAAATTTAGCTCCTCTGTACTCTTCTGTGAAAAGACAGGTATCCCTCACTCTGCAAACTCTGGTTATTACAACTAAAGAAACTGCACTGGGATACATTTTTGGAGATAATTCTATATCCCTTATACTAACCAAATTTTTACAACTCTCAATCCAAAACTTAACAACCTCAATATGTGGCTACTAATACTACATGTGGCTAAATAATTTTATTTTTGATTGAATCAAAACTATCTTCCTAGATATTTGTTCCCTCTGCTCCCATTTTAAACAATGCTGAAATGAACATCTTTGCAGAGTTGTCCAAAAATGACTTCAAAATGGAAATTTCTAGATCAGAGGATACACAGATCAACAGAAGAGAAAGTCCAGAAACTTACTTGGACACAGGTAAAGAACATGCAAAAACAGGTGGGGGAGAAATAGATAAAATGGATTCTTTGATAAATGTATTGGGACATTGACTGGCCATTTGAAAATATTGAAATGAAATTCTAGATTTGCTGTGCCCAATATGGTGGCTACCAGTTACATGTGGCTATTTAAATTTGTATTAATTTTAAAACAAAATTTAAAAGTTCAATTTCTCTGTGGTATTAGCCATATTTCAAGTTCTCAGTAGCCACGTGTGACGAGAGGCTACAACACTGGACAGTACAGATACAGAACATTTCCTTCATCCAGAGAAGGCTCTAGATGAATCAAAACATTACTTTCCTCTCTTCAATACAAAGCAAGACTTGAAAGAATCAAGAAAAACACATGGAGGTCAATACTTACATGTGGGGAATGCCATCCTAAGCATGAAGCCAAACACTGAAGCCATAAAGAGAAAGATTGGATAGACTAACCATATACACACAAAATTAAATTGTGTATAAAAACACCAAAAAAATCACTAACATTAATATGGGAGAAATACTTATAGTACAAAATGGCAAAAATACTTAAATACCAAAAGATAAATATCTCCATAGAATATTGGGCAAAAGATACAGTAGACAGTTTATATCCTTATGAAAATTTAGTCTCACTAGTAAATAAAAAGAAACATAATTAAAACAAAGCAACTTTTGCCAATAAATTTGACAAATATAAAGAATATTAACACTCAGTGTTCATTGAAGAAAATTGGCACACCCTTTCAGGAGGACAATTTTACTACTCATCTACTAACACCTAGAGGGAAGAGCAGCTCTCCTACTAGTTTCATGGCGAACGGATCTCCATCAGCACAGGGCTACCTCGGCATGAGATCCAGGAAAGAGAAGCCTTTTAAGAGATCCCTCCTGAGTGAATGCTCAAGCTAATGGTCAAGAAATGTCTAATTTCCCTCCTTTGAAAAGTTCTATCCATGTATCTGCCTGCAATGAGGAAAATACACAAGAACTACTTCCCCAGATTTATAACAGGCTTTACTACTACTATAGCTTTTCTTTTTTCATTTTAAATATTACCTTAGAAACAAGTTGTAATAGCCTAGTGAAGTCCCCTTCACGATGGGAGATTCTAAAGTGGGATATGTCAGTATTATGAGGCTGAATGTTTTTAACCCCTAACTTCACATTTCATGAATTTAACTCTTCAGCAAAGTATTTTGCATCTACTATGTGTTTTAGAATATTAATGCCATCCTTCCTTATTTCACATGCTGAATTGTTTGTCTGGTTTTGGAGGAGGGTGGCCCCTCTTACCTTTTGGCTCCTGTGCAGACCATTTTCCCAGAGCTAAATATGAGGGCTGTAGTCCTGGGCTCTCGGATCCTCATTATGACAGCGGCAAACCTCTGAAGACAGAAGCCAAAACAACAATTAACCTCCACTAGGGATTAACACCTGCTGAAGCTGAAACTCCAATACTTTGGCCACCTGATGCAAAGAACTGACTCATTAGAAGAAACTCTGATGCTGGGAAAGATTGAAGGTAGGAGGAGAAGCGGACGACAGAGGATGAGATGGTTGGAAGGCATCACCGACTTGATGAATATGAGTTTGAATAAGCTCCGGGAGTTGGTGATGGACAGGGAAGCCTGGCATGCTGCAGTCCATGGGGTTGCAAAGAGTCAGACATGACTGAGCAACTGAACTGAACTGAAGGGTTAGCACTATTCCAGTTGCAAGAGTGAGATGGACATGAAAAGTGTTGAATAAATTGAAATTTAGTGGGAAAACTAAAAAATGTCTGGGTCTATTCTCCTACCTTAAGGTTAAGAAAATGTACATGATTCTAAAAGGTAAGAATAGTAAAGGTAAAATTTGAGTACCTGTTATGTTTCAGACCCTATGCTAAAGCTTTACAGGTCTTATTGCATTTGAAGTGCAACAGTAAAAAGAACCCTCAGTCAGCGCTACACACAACTGATCAAGGCCTATTAATGTTTTCCAGGTGTTTACTAAAAAGTGGCACTCTCACCTGATATTCATTTTGTTAAATTCTTAAGACATCTGAAATGCCAAATCAGAATTTTTCCGGTTGTCAAGTCTAAGTATGGACAAATCCTATGAACCAAACTGAGAGGAGAGCTGAGGACAGTAGAGAATAAAATAGGCTCAAAATGTTGATTGCTCAATTGTGTAGTTAATCATAGCTACATCCTTAAAAATCCTAGCCCATCAATGGGTTTCTGTCCTCATAATAGCCAGCAACACAAAAGATAAATAGGAAAGCTTTGTTGTACTAGGTAATATTCAGGTAATATTTAAATTCAGATGTCAATAGCACCACTACCACAACAGGAAAAACAAAGACTTTATCCATAAATAGTTGATGTTGGCAAGGTCCTCTTGGTTCTGACTAATATGGCCTTTCTCATCTAACTCCTTAAATCCTCCACTACCCAAGGCAGTGAACTTTTCCCCAGTAGGCACCAGGCCTCACTCATCTTTGTACTAAGTAATTTAACTAATCATTTAATGTTGATTGAATTAACAAATCCTAGGTAAACAGACCACTGAAAACGGGATGCCTGGCCTTGGAAAGACACAAAAAAGAATAGATTTTATTAAACTTTGATTTTAATAGATAAGATAGAATTTAATAAAATAGATTTTATTAAAGCCAGAATCATACACTTCAATTTTGCACTTTATACAATTGAGATTTCCCAGGTAATAGAAACTATAAGTGAAAAAATACGTGTGTCAGCTAAATGGGACAACAATTAGAAAAAATTATTTCCATGAATATGATGACATTGTAAGAAAGTTAGCATTTCCATAGTCAGGCTGAAAACAGTCATACTGAAAGGTTTTTCTGAATAACAAGAGAAAGATCTTAATGTTTAGAACTGCTTAATAAGTATTCAACATGGAAAATGAAATTATTTTTATAAGTTCAAGACAGAGAATAAGGCAGTTAAACTTTCAAATTGCCAAAAGTCTTCCACCAAACATTTTTTCTTTTTTAAAAATATTAACAAAGGAATGAGTCAATATCACGACTCTATGAAGGAAAGAACATCTACATAGAACCTAATTATTGAAAAAATTACTGAGAAATCTTACCTTTGGGTTATATTCTGCATTTTTCGCATGCAAAGCTATTTTCTTCAGATCCAATTTACAGGCCAGGTTTACAGTGGAAACTATGTTCCTAAAGAAATAAGTCGACCTAAGTTATATCAGATTTAAAAAGTAAAAAATAATGAAAACCTATTAACTTTCTCATTTTACAGGTTTAGGTGACTTCCTAGGGGGAGAATTATTCTAAATGTGAAATATACAGTTACACAGTCCTTAGTATGTTGTAAAAATCCTAAAGGACTAAAATAGCTTTTTCTAAAATTTCATGACTGACAAAAATTAAGTTTTAGATCTTTTTCAAAATGCCTCAAAATAGGAAGCACAACATCAAATCCACTTGCAAATCAAGTTCAGTTTTACATTTTTTTAATCCTTTGTGTTATTCCAACTCCAACCACAATTTACAGCAACTAAAGTGCTTTAGTGTAGATAATACAACCCCTTCAGGAAATTGTAGACTGACCCTCAACTCCCGCTTAGGAGATCAAGAGTTAGTGCTCATTTTTCAGGTAAACAGTCTAAAACCAAGCCCATTAAGAGCTGATAAAACAAAGGATACTGAGATCTGAAATTCTCTTCCCTACACTATTATGATCCCATTCAAGAATACAAAATCTATACTCAGAAGCATTACTCATTTAAAACAATAGCAACTTACTGTAGTTGAGGCACAATTCCAGAACATTCTGAAATAGGGGCCATTGGTGTCATAGGAGTTATGGACGCCAGAGGCAAGGAGTGAGGTTTCTCAGGAGAGGGCTGGGCTGAGTTACCATCAGCAGGGTGCAGGTGTGAGTGGGAACTTGACCCACTGCTGCTGTCTAAGGCCAGGCCAGTGTCCAGCTGGCTGGGTAAGGGCAGCCTAGTTTGCCGTCTTTGAGTTTTACAGTTTTCTTCAATTTCATGCTTGCTCCTAATGACAGTCTGGTCTTTCTTTTCTTGGGAGAGCTCATCCAGTAAGAAGCTAAGATCCACAGCTGAGAAACTGCCAGATGTTTCTGTGACTTCTTCAAGCTGGGGATTAAATGCACTCTCTGGATTGGATGAGGTAAGCATGTCCACATCATAAGGCACAGCTGGGCTCAGCAGGGCTGATCTGGATGTGGTAAGGGCATCCTAGGCCGTTCCCAGAACAGACAAAACACAACAGACAGAACATCATGTCACATCCAAAGGATGCCACCTTGGCTGGCAGGCAGTGTGTTCAGGAGGATGCTGTTCAGATAGCTTATATTCACACCCTGCTCTTTCCACAAAGTCTCCTTAAAGTTCTAGTCTAGGGTTACAACACACTTCATGAAAACAGGAAAATGTGTCTTAAAATACAGAAAAGGCATGTTTCATAAAACATTTTTCTTTGGTTAAATTTGTAGTAAGTTACTATTCTAAATCCACTTCTGTAATTCAGGTAAGTTGGCAATCACGCTCTAAATCTGTGTTTTGAAAAGTACAGATTTTTCTGTACTCCCTAAGTTGATTATAAACTTTAGTTGACTTAAAGGTGTTTTTTTTTTTAGTTTTAAAATCATATTTTAAAGAGAAGAGCAGTAAATGAAGGAAGCTGAGGATACAGCCTTGAGTGCTAATCAAGCCTCCACAAAGGACTCATCTTTATTCCTTCTAGTCAAAGAAGAGATAAGAAATCATTCCATTTATGTGCATAGGGGGAAAGTTATTGAAATTTAAATGGAAAGACTAGTTTAAATCAATGTATTGTATTTCCAGCCCAGGGAAGGATGATCAACTTCCATTATCATCAACCGAGGGAATGAGGTATGCAACTGAAGGAAACAGCTAATATAAAACTCATGGCCTTTGTTATGGAAAAAATATTGTTGGTACATATTACCACCCACGTCACCCAAGTTGCATGCCTGGATTCTATATTTTGACCACTAGCTGGCAGGATAACCTGTCAGAAGGTCTTACTTCTAACAATTGAACAGTCATGAATGCCTTGTGCTGTGTCTTCTCCATGACAAAGTTATCTCAGCTGATATGTCTGGCTAAAAGTGTGTGCTCAGTTGTGTCCGACTCTGCAACCGTATGGATTGTAGCCTGCCAGGCTCTTCTGTCCATAGAATTTTCCAGGCAAGAGTACTGGAGTGGGTTGCCATTTCCTACTCCAGGGTATCTTCCTGACCAGGAGATGGAACTCATATTCTTTACCACTGTGCCACATGGGAAGTATATACATATATATCTGTGTGTGCTGTGGACTAAGTCACTTTAGTCGTGTCCGACTCTGTGAGAACCTATAGACTGCAGCCCGCCAGACTCTGTCCATGGGATTCTCCAGGCAAGGATACTGGAGTGGATTGACATGCCCTCCTCCAGAGTATCTTCTCAACCCAGTGATGGAACCTGGGTCTCCTGCATTACAGTCAGATTCTTTGCCATCTGAGCCACCAGGGAAGCCCATAAGAAGTCTGGCTAAATCCTACCAGGACGAGGTGGCCGAGTGGTTAAGGCGATGGACTGCTAATCCATTGTGCTCTGCACACGTGGGTTCGAATCCCACCCTTGTCGGCCTGTGGCTTCTGTGGCCCTCTTTGCATTTTATGGGTCTTCCCTGATAGCTCAGTTGTAAAGAATCCGCCTGCAAAGCAGGAAACCCTGGTTTGATTCCTGGGTGAAGATCTGCCGGAGAAGAGATAGGCTACCCACTCCAGTATTCTTGGGCTTCTCTTGTGGCTCAGCTGGTTAAGAATCTGCCTGCAATGTGAGAGACCTGGGTTCGATCCCTGGGCTGGGAAGATCCCCTGGAGAAGGGAAAAGCTACCCACTCCAGTATCCTGGCCTAGAGAATTCCATGGACTGTATAGGCCATGGGGTCGCAAAGAGTCAGCAGGACTGAGCGACTTTCACTTTTACTCTTTTACTTTCAGATCCTATTGATGGTGCTGTTACCACAAGTCCAGCAGATGGCAGCGGTGACTAAATGTTAGACAAAAACACTTAGAAGAATGCAGTTATTCTCTTAAAATAAGATTTGACCTTATTTCATTTTGAATTATGTTATTAGCCCCTATCTCCCTCCACCCCCACCCCACAGGTGGGCCCTAGGGAAAGTGAGGTGGGGGCAGCGGCCCAGATTCCTCTCCATTGTTTCCGTGGCCTCTTCTGTTCTAGCCAGAAAAGATTCCATCAGCCAATTTACACTAAAGCACTAATATCTGCAACATTGGTGACTCCCCTCCTTTTTCCCATTATGGCATTTTAGTAGAAAGCAAAACTCCCACCCAAAGAACTGAACTTCAACAAGGAATTTGAGGCAATGGCAACAAGATATTGAAGAGGGATGTTTTATGTCAGTGGAACCCTGACAGCCTCCTGTCTGAGTTTACTTATAGGAACACACCTTAGAGAATAAGCTTACATAGTATTCCCTAAGTATACACAGTATAGCCTTATACCTGAAGAAACTTTTTGTTAAACTGTCTTTACAGAGCCGTTAACTCATCTTTCACGGAATCTTCCCAGCTTGGGCTCTCCTTTGCAATGTTAAATGCTGTGGGACTTCACTATTTCTACTTCACTGCTAATCACTGGTCTGTTTAATCACCCCCCAACCACCACCACTCCCTCTATAAGTTGCTCTCTTGCTTTTTCACTTGCTTTTGGCTCCGCCACATTCATGATCTTCATTTCCTTAGCGGTGATGGAAACCCAGGGCCCTCCAGTGGAAACTCAGAGTTTTAACCACTGGACCAACAGGGGAGTCCCTTGTTTTTCTTTTTGAGGACTCTTTCCTCTGTGTTCTACAGTTCTTAGATTAAAAAGCAAAACCTCAAAATGTAAGAATCACAAACTGAAAGAAGCCACAGGTGTCTCCAATTTGTATCCACACTGGACCAGCAACCTTTAGTAAGTTAATTCATCTCTCGAACCTTCTGGTTTTTCAACTGAACGATGGGGATAATGAAGCCCACCTCCTAGGGTCGCTAGGAGTTTTACTAGAGATAAAATAAAGGTGGACTCCTGGGTGCGCGGGACGTGGGCCCTGACTCTGGGACTGTGGCAGCGGCTTCCAGGCTCACCTGGGCAAAGCACTGGTCCAAGTAGAGTTCCAGGTCTGTCTTCTCCTCCTCCATGGGTGGAGGGCTCACTGGTGGCAGTTGAGAGGTTGGGAATGGGGGGAAGAGCCAGTGCGAATGGAGCTGTGGCTGAGTTGGCCAGGCGTGTGGGGCCCAGAAGCCATTTATTGGCCCGCGGCCACTCGTGGCGAGGCGGGGCCTGGGCCAGGGCTGGGAGCAGGGGACCAGGGGCCGGGCAGGGGGCCTCGCGGGGTCCGCCCAGCCCATGCTCTCGCAGACGGCTGGAGGGAACGGATGATGAACCAGGGAGGGGGTTGCAGAACTCAGCACCCGGCCCATGAATCCCTTACCTTGCTGGGGAAGGAGGACTGGGGCGGGAAGACTGTTCTTGCCTGAGTGTAATCACTGCACTCGGCCCACAGCTGAGAGGCAATGGGCCTACCAATCTGGAGAGCTCCTTCCACCTGCAAATGCTGCCTTTGCCTTCTGCAGGCGGAAAGGTCTCAGTGTTGTTCAGTCACTAAGTCGTGTCTGACTCTTTGGGAGCCCACGGACGGCAGCACGCCAGGCTTCCCTGTCCTTCACAATCTCCCAGAGTTTACTCAAACACATGTCCTTTGAGTCGGTGATGCTATCCAAGTGTCTCATCCTCTGCCTCCGTGCCCCCCACCCCTTCTCCTCCTGTCCTCAATCTTTCCCAGCATCAGGGTCTTTTCCAATGAGTCAGTTCTTTGTATTAGGTGGCCCAAGTATTGGACCTTCAGCATCAGTCTTTCCATTGAATATTCAGAGTTGATTTCCTTTAGGATTGATTGGTTTGACCTTCTTGCCGTCCAAGGGACTGTCAAAAAATCTCCTCCAGCACCACGATTCGAAAGCATCATTTCTTTGGCGCTCAGCCTTCTTTATGGTCCAGCTGTCACATCTGTACATGACTACTGGAAAAATCATAGCTTTGACTATGTGGACCTTTGTCAGCAAAGTGATGTCTCTGCTTTTTAATACACTGTCTAAGTTTGTCATAGCTTTTCTTTCAAGGAGCAAGCGTCTTTTAATTTCATGGCTGTAGTCACCATCTGCAGTGATTTTTGGAGTTCAGTGTTAGCAGCATGAAACGGGTTGGGCAGTGAGAAAAACATTTTTTAATAGAATTTTTTTTTTTCTTGAGTAACGTAAGTGGAATTTTAGGCACTTTACCCAGTCAGGTGCTGGACTTTTGTGTTATAATCACTTCTCACTTTCAAATCCCAGCTGGCTTTTTTTCAATTTCAGAGAATTCAGTCTAAAGCCACGTATAAAAGAACGTGCTGCTGTGCAGTTAGGGTTGTGCAGCGTTGTCTCTGCAGTCGTGTCTGACTCTGTGCAACCCCACGGACTGTAGCCCACCAGGCTCCTCTGTCCATGGAATTCTCCAGGCAACCTTACTGGAGTGGGTTGCCATTTCCTTCTCCAGGGGATCTTCCCCACCCAGGGATTGAACTCATGTCTCTTATATCTCCTGCATTGGCAGGCTGGTTCTTTACCATTAGTGCCACCTGGGAAGTCCACAGTTAGGGTTGATGCAGTTCAGGAAGGTAATGTAAAACCAAATAACCAGAAGATTTTCCTCTTTCTTGAAATTATTATTTTAATTTTTATTGCCTCAGCTTTCATAAGAACTTACATGTGCAGAATGGGTCTATAAATACAACTGATACTCTTAACATGAGATATTTCAAAATGGAGACATGCATGTCCCCATTCTAGCCTATGCTCTCTGAGAGGAGGATTGTTAATTACTCCCATCTTTGTGCCTTTGAACCAAGCTCATAGGTAATCAGTAAAATTTGATCAGTGAATGAAAAACTGTCCTCAGAATGGAATATAGTAGAGACAGAGAACTCTAAAAATCAGGTCTAAAAATCAGATACAATTTCTAATCAAGAATATAGGATATATTTTGACAAAGCTGGGATTTTATATAATAGTTATACTAATGCATTATTTAATCTAATAATTTATATTTAATAAGATGCTTATCAAAAATGTTTAGCATAATACCTGTTTAGTAGCTCATATAGCTCAAATATTAGCTCTTACTTTTGTTATTAGACAGATAAGGACCAAATTGTGTCTTGCCCCTTCCCTCCAAATTCATATGCTAGAAACCTAACCTGTGTAACTTGTGTCCTTAAAAGAAGAAAGAGAGAGACATCAGACCCTGTGAGGACACAGTAAGAAGGTGGCCATCTTCAAGCCAAGGAGAAGGGCCTCAGGAGAAACCAGACCTTCTGACTCCTTGATCTGGGACTTTCAGCCTCCAGGACTGTAAAAAAAATAATAAATTTTTGTTGTTTAAGCCATTCTGTCTGTGATATTTTGCTGTGGCAGCCCTAGCAGGCTAAAATACATGCTTATAAAGTATCTCATCATATGTGGTAGATGGAATCCTGAGACGATCCCCCAAATTTCCACCTTCTCCCAGTTATTCAAACAATAATCTAGGTGTTGCTGTAAAGTGATTTTGCAGGCTTAATTGAGGTCCCAAACCAGATAACTTTAAGAAAGAGAGACACATTATCCTGAGTGAGCCTGACCTAATCAACTCATCAGGCGAGGCCTTACAAGGACCTGGGCCCTTTCTTGGGAGAAAGATCCAAAACTTGAGAAAGATTGCCATGAGGGAGATTCTCCATTGCTGCTTTGGAGATGGATGGGGTCATGTTGCAGAGAGGGTGGGTGACTTGGAGGAGCTGAGAGTGGCCCACACTTGACACCAGGAAAGAAATGGAGACCTCAGTCCTACAGCTTCAAGGATCTAAATTTGACAGGCAACAGAGAAAAGAGTCCCTGAAAGAAACAGCCTAGCCATGATCTTCATTTCAGTCATGTAAGCTCTGAGCAGAGAGTCCGGTCATGCTGTGCTCAGACTTCTGACCTTATAAAAGGTCAGAATCTTATAAACAGATTTATGTGATCTTATAAAAAGGTGTGGTTTTGAACCACCAAACTTGTGATTTGTTACACAGAAATAGAAAACACATACATCATAAGCTATGAATAAGAAGTAGGGACACAGATCTGCAGTGATCTGCTGGGCAAATGATAAGGTGAATGAATAAAATGTTAATAATTCCGAGTTTGAAGTTATTTTCAAATAAAGAGTTTCAAAATAAAAGATGAATGACTGTTTTTGTAGATGTTTTCAGCTATGGTAAGAGTTAATTTATTCAAAATCTTAAATTGTTTTATTTCTGAGAATCAAAGATTGGTATGGTTTTGCTAAATAATAACTGATTGCTGGCATTTGTTCACCTCTTACGACGAGCCAAGCTATATTCTAAGTATTTCATATCTATGAACTCACTTAAACATCACAGTAACTCTGTGAGGTAAAGTGAACGTGTTCGCTCAGTCGTGTCAGACTCTGTGACTCCACGGACTGTAGCCCGCCAGCCTCCTCTGTCCATGGAGTTCTCCAGGGAAGAATACTGCAGTGGGTAGCCCTTCCCTTCTCCAAGGGATCTTCCTGACCTAGGGAATGAACCCAGGCCTCCTGCATTGCACATGATTCTTTACCTAATACTCTTTTATTATTTTACAGTTGAGGATACTGAGGCACAGAGTGGTTAAGTAACTTGTTCCAGGTCACTCAGCTCCTATTCAGAATATGTAACTCTGAAGCCACATGCTACGTATTGTTCCCGCATCAAAGTCTACATATGCCATTTCAGATTAGTAGTTTGTTTTCATTTGCACTGCGCTTGTTAATCTGCTTTTATTCTGAAGATTTTTTTGTCTGTTTTGTAGTTCAGAATTTGTAATATTTTGTATTTTGACAAAAAAATGCGGGGGGTGTACAAAAAGCCCACTGTATCCAAGCGTTTTAATTCATTATTTTGTAATTTACTATTGTAAAGATGAGTTAAATGGGAGTATGTGTAAACTTTTACCAAGCACTTTGCATGAAGTATTGTTTTTAATGTCTTCAAGAGAGTAATGCCAAACCTGAAACATTGTAAGTCAACTATACTTCGATAATACATATATATTAAGGGATAAAAAAGGAGAGTAACACCAAGACTTAGATGGACCATGACTCTTTAAGAGAGGTCAACTCTGTGAAAAATAGGCTTTTAACTCTTACTTTAAGAGGTTGTCCCTCATCGGAGAAAATATTAAAAAGAACCCACATCTCACATTAAATGTAATTTATATGTAACTATTTAATAGCTGAATTAGTGTGATTACTTGATATGTCACATTTTGTAAACATTTAGTCTAATGTGCTAGTTTCTAATGTGCTTTTAAATTTTGAATTTAAAAGACTTTGGAGCCAATGGGTTTTTCTCAGCTTTCAATTTTATTGGCCCTTGTAAAGCTTGTAGGCCCTAGATGCTGGGCCTTAGCTGCTAAAAGGCAATCACACTGCTTGCTGCAGAATGGAGATGGAATTTCACTGTTGATGAAACTTTAGGAAACACTGTTTCTAGGTGTTTCCTAGAGGGTGCTCTTTCCTCTCCAGGAAGGAACTCCTTGTTTGGGGAGCAAACAGCTTTCGGAGACAGAATACACAGGAGTCCTTGCACCCCTAGATGTTAAAATAAAAAGTGAATATTACTTTGTGCTCAGAAGACCAGGGGGTACTTCCAAAAATATTGCTAACTAGAATTAGGGAATTCTCTGGCCATCCAGTGGTTAGGACTTCAAGCTTTCACTGCCAGGGGCAAGGGTGCAGGTTCAGTCCCTGGTCAGGGCGCTAAGATCCTGCAAACTGCAGGGAATGGCCAAAAAAGAAGAAATAGGATTTGTCACTGTACCAATCAGTGCAAATATATTTTTACATAATTATACAAGGGGATTCAATTTTTTCAGTGGCTAAAGCAATTGAAAGTGCTTTAGAGTAATCTACGTTCATACCACCTTGATAGGTGCGTAAGTGAGGGGCAATTTTGCTGCTTAGGAATAAGCTGAGAAATGAGAGTTTGCAAAGTCATTAGGTTTCTTGAGGCCATGTTTTTTAACCTGGTGCCAGTTTTGCTAGGTGCAGCCTTCTGTTTCTTTTGGTGAGCCCTGGA